TTTGGGGTGGGGGGAGGGGGAGAGGGGTTCTCTGAAGTTGAGAACACGGACCGCTCCAGGAATTTCGCGGTCAACAGTGTGGCTTCGCGGGGGCGGCAGAATTCCGTGCTCAGCGGTGGAGGCTGGCGCGGACAGCGGAATTGGAGGCGCGACCGCAAGAGCCGACAATTTTCGCGACCGCGGAGGAAAATCCGCGTTCAGCGGAGTTAGTGGCGCGGGGGCATTTGTTTTTGCGTGGTCAACGAATTTGGGATCCGGGAGGTGCACTATAAATACGAGATTCAGGGTTTTATTTTCATACTTTGACCTAGAGAGCTCGGGTTTGGCCATTTTTTGAGGGATTTTCAAGAAAACCATCGGGATAAGTGATTCTAACTCAATTTTTGGCTAAAATACATGATTATAACGTTGGATTCATCATTTGAGTAGAGATTTGGGATGAAAATTTGGGAAAAATTTGTGGAACTTCATAAAATAAACTTTTGAGATTTGAAAGTCGATTCAAAGTTGGAATTGAGTGAAACTAGTATGGTTAGTCTCGTAATTGAATGTGTTGACGAATTTTGTGACTTTGGCCGGATTTCGAGACGTGGACCCGGGGTCCGTCTTTTGAGTTTACTTTTTGACTTTTGGTCTTAAGCTTAGCATTTTCATACGAGATTGATTCCTTTAGCTCGTATTGATTGTATCGAATTATTTATGACTAGATTCGGAGCGTCCGGAGGTCAATTTGAGGGGCAAAGGCATCACGGAGTAGGATTTTGGCTTGGTTGAGGTAAGTAACGCTTCCAAACTTGATTTTGATGGTTCGAAACCCTGAACTATGTGTTATATGATCGTACGAAGGTGACGCACATGCCAAGTGACGGGCATGCACCGTGAGAAATATGGTCTGGATCATTCCATGGCACCGCTTAGTAACTCTTTCTTACCGATATCCTTGTTTCTATCATATGATTAAGTAAATGTGATGTATATTATGCTAACCATCCTGTTAGGGCTTTACGCTGATGCTGTTGAGACCCGAGTGATCATTGTTTGCTGTCATTTCGTTAGATTCATTGATATTTGGTACTCAGTCTTAATTGCCCTGGAACTCAGTATAATATCTCATATATATTATACTAGAACTTTTCGCGTGTTAGAGTTCTAGCATAATATGCTGGAAGTTCATACACAAGTGGAGATTTTGACTACTTATTAGTGCCTTTTTACTTTCGTTTTAGTCCAAAAATGCTTAATTGTACTCCCGATAACTGATGAAATGTGCTTAAATGCAGGAGTATTGAAAAATGATCCACAAAGATGAAATCCAACTCAAAAGAGAGTAATATGGACTCAAGGACAAAAAGCAGACAAAAGGCTAACGTGCGGACAGCAGAATTCCTTCTACGGCCGCAAAAGGCAAAGGAAATTCAACAGTGACCAAGAGCAATGTGCAGCCGCAAAAGCCACCAAAGAGTTCAAAATCAGCCGTAGAAGTCAGTCATATGGTTGCACTCAGATTTGTGCGGTCCGCAGAAAGGGCCTATGCGGTCGCACTCACTATTGTGCGGCCGCAATCCAGAATTATGCAACCGCAGAC